ACAATGATGGACTCTGATGGACTCCGAGGGACACTGATGGACAATGATGGACTCTGATGGACATTAATGGACTCTGATGGACACTGAGGGACTCGGATGGACTTTGATGGACTCTGATGGACTCTGATGGACTCTGATGGACTCTGAGGGACTCGGATGGACTCTGATGGACTTTGATGGACACTGAGGGACTCCGATGGACTCTGAGGGACTCTGATGGACTCTGAGGGACTCGGATGGACTCTGATGGACTCTGAGGGACTCGGATGGACTCTGATCGACAGCTCCACTGGATGTTTCAGATCAAATCAGTTCAAATTATCGCAGTAACTGAGGGAATGTACTTCCTTCAGTAAAATCTATTTATATCTGTGAGATGTCAAACAGGTAGAAGAAGGCGGGTGTGTGAGCTGAGGTAAAGATAAGGTGAGCAGTGGGCGTGTCCTTAGACAGGTAACTTTTAGAGCAGCAGAGGAAGGAATGAAGATCATTTCTTGCACCGCGGCTAATGCTACGCTGCAGTTATGCTGCTCCTTAAGAAGATCTGTGTGATGGCTCTGCTGATTCTGCTGACACACGGTAGGAACCTTCATCTGCTCCATGAGAACCACCGTTCTTCTTATCCACGGGATACTTTTCCTTCCTAAACAATGTTCAAAACGAGCTGAAGCTGTTGGCTAATCAGGTTCTCAGATGCTGATGGATGTTTACAAATTCATCCCAACATTAAAATGACATCATGACATCAAAATGTTATTAAACTTGGAAAATGCATTTTTCTCTCCCACTTCTAATAGGATTTAATCTTTGCTCTTCGTTTAAGTCATTCTGGGCAGATTCTTACATTGTTCAGTTTTAGGCTGTAAAAGCTTGTAAGGAATTTAAATTTCTGGACAGAAAAACTGCTTGTTCTCACCACCTTTTGTTTTTTCAAATACTTCATTTTTCAGATTCTTCTTCTTATTATTGTAGTGTTTTATGACAGGAAACAAGATTCACCACCAGAAAAAAAATGATATAATAATAAATAATAATTTTCCAAACCATTTAATTTAAACAAACATAATAAATAAATACTCAATCAAATCTGTCCCTATCATTTCTAATTTATCTTAGGTTATCATCACTCATTTTGTTCTGAGTTAAACAATCTGTGGCATCTACTATGAACAGCAGGGGGTGCTGCAGAGAACTGATACTAACTGAAAACCTCGAACCTTTAAAGTTATGCAAACCATGACAAGTTAGCTGCACCTCATTATTAGAGAGAAATAGGAAACAGCAAATGATTAATATGCTTATAAATGGAGGCAGACTTATGATCCAAGAAGCAGCAGCATTTCATAGGAATAAGCCAATTATTATTACTATTATTATTATTAGAAAATTATAAATTACTGCAAAGCTGCAGATTTAGGTTTGCACAGAACCAGATGAACCAGAGCTGCTTCACTTAAAATCCTGCTGCAGCTGGAAGAAACAAAACAAAGTGGATTTCTGATAGATGTGTTTGGGAATGAGGAGAAAAGTTATATTAATAAGACAAGAGAGCCTCATCTGCTCCTCAGTCTGTTCATCAAAATTAGAACTGATACCTTTGAACAGTCAGGAGCCGAGATGACGTCAGATCAGATGAACAGAGAAAATATAGATATATGGTATTAGAGCAGAATGATAGTTTTTGACACCATTTAATCAGGTTTTACAAGTGAGTATTAGAGATCATGATTAAATAAATTTAACCCCAGAATTTCAATTCTATTCAGTTTATTTCTATAGCAGCAATTCACATCATGTCATCTCAGGTCACTTTATAGATCCAGATCAACCAGATCATCCAGTCAGATTGGTGGACTCATTGACTCTTCAGCAATCCCTCACACTAAGCATGCTTGTAGCGACAGTGGAGAGGAAAAACTCCCTTTTAACAGGAAGAAACCTCCAGCAGAACCAGGCTCAGTGTGAGCGGCCATCTGCAGAGGCCCACTGGGGTTCAAGGAGACAGAAGCAGAAATAGAAAAAGAAGCATAGATACAAAAGGCAACTGTCAACCAGCTCCACAGGCGGCCCCGTCCAGGAAACACACAGACAGGCAGACGAGCTCCGAGCCAGCTCCCATGTCAGAGGATGAAGAGAGCACATCCAGTTAGTCACAGTCAGAGAAACATAAATGAGGTTATTCATATTGATCTGGAACCAGTACCTGGACTGCACCAGTACCTGGACTGCACCAGTACCTGGACTGCACCAGTACCTGGACTGCACCAGTACCTGGACTGCACCAGTACCTGGACTGCACTGGTTCAAGTCCAGAAACAATGGTGCTAAAGACTTACTAAGACCAGCCATTGGGTTGCCTTTGAACTGGTATGTTATGGTTCAGAGCAGCATTGAATAAGGCTAGTTGTTAATATTTGAGGCTCTAATCATGTTTAATGTTAATGTAAGGTCAATTATCACTAGAATAAAACCATTCAGGTACGAAATCACAGTTCATCTAAAACTGTTCTTTACCAATTTATCCCAGGCAGCATTTCAAAAAACATTAAAAACAGCGATTAGACCATACTTACTTTATTCTATTCATGGTTTTATTTGACAAAGAATCAATTCCTATAATTCGGGTTAGATTTATTCTGCATTCTGTTAAGACTGGTTTAATGACTAAGATTAAACAGGTTCTTTTATGAAGGGGGATTAAAACCCAGTCTGACGGTTTTAAAACTACAAAAAGAGGTAAATTATTGTAATACAAACTTGGACAGAATTGTTTGTTACCTTTTATTTAATGAAAGAAAAACAATGGTCAAATTAATAAATAGAATCTCATAAACTAATAATAAATAAAAGTTTTATTGAATTTTAGAAATAAAAGTTAAAAGTTGCTCTACAACGAGGCTTCAAAAGAATTAAAAAACAAAGGGACACGTTAAAGTGTGTCGACCAATCAGCATCACAGGTCTCTACAGTCTAGTGATTTGGCTATTGGGCTACAGCTTGGGTGAGGTGGTGTATACCACACTCAACATGGACCAGTGGAAAAGACAGAAAATGATAGAGCAGCATGTTAGAGCTAAAGGCTGTTAATGATAGACTCTGTGCACTTTGAAGCTCTTTTTCTGAAAAGAAATAACACAAACTCTTTAAATAACACTTTATATGTATTAAATAACCAGGAGACAAGAGAACAGATTCTGATTCAAATTCTAATTCTAATTCTGATTCTGATTCTGATTCTAATTCTAATTCTGATTCTGATTCTGATTCTAATTCTAATTCTGATTCTGATTCTGATTCTGATTCTGATTCTCAGATCAGAGAAGTTGCTCAGAGTCACAGAAGGCAGCTGCTTCCTCTCAGGAAGCGACTCCTTCTAACATTTAAAGAAGCATTTTATCCAGTCTGTTACATCCTACATGTTAGCAGATGATTAGGCGTCCATGGCTCCAGCCTGATCAAAATAATCCGCTTCATGCTTAGCTGAAGGACGCCGCTCTCACTCCGTTTGTCACGCAGAGAATGAAGATTATAACTGTTTATCCCGACAGAGAAACTGTGTTAATTAAATTAGCTATTGTGGAAAACATCACTTCTGACCCGTAACAGGCAGCTAATATTAAGGTGCAATAAACTTACGCATCCTCTATGGGTTAGGGTTAGGATTACTAGGCTATCAGATCATCTCCAACCAGCTGATGTTCCTCTGAGAACAGATTATTCCGATATTTAGGATCCGTGGACTGAAGCCGACCTCCTGGATGCGGCTGCAGCTGGAAAACTGATGATAAATCAGAGACGGGTAATAGGAATGGAAACAAAAGAGCCCAGAAAAACCTCTAGAGATTAAAGGGGAACTTCATCATCATCATCATCGTCACCATCGTTTGATCCAAAGTGGATTTAATGGGAGACGACCAGTGTTTAATGGGAGGAACCATTGAAGGGAAGCACCCATCAAAACCAGACTGGAGTTCACCAAACTACATGTTGGCCAGAAACAAGTCTTCTGGGAGAATGTCCTCTGGACATGGAGACAGACATGGAGACATGCTGTGGAACATGGAGGAGGCTCAGCTGAGATGCCTGCTTTCTGATGAGGAGCGGTCTGACTGACAGGAGCAGGAACCAATGATGGCCGAGACTGAAGCCACCAGGAACCATCATTTCATTCCAGGCCTGTTTATGTTTTAAATCATTCTGGATGAAAACCAACGTCTGACTTTATTCATTTTATGCATTCATTCTTTTGTTAGTATTTCTGACACTATTGTGTTGAAAAGTTTGTGTTATTATCAGAACTGAAAGTTCAAATCATTGAATCATCATGGAGGAAGAAGTTGATCTGATGGTGTTAAATGCTTCTCCACCTAAAAGCGTCTCACTTATGAGAAAAACCTCAAATATGATCAGTATGTTCCGTGCTTAAAGGAAACTGGTCTGTGTTTACATTTCTTTCACACAAACTGGTTAAACTGGTCTAA